ATATGTTAATTGCATTAAAATTGCCAATGTACCTGTCAGGACTGTCTTTAGTTGTTCTTGTACTGGTATTTCCAGAAACATTGCCTCCTGTGTTAACTTCAACCGACAAAGGCCACATGTTTCTTCTGCAGGTAACATGGTACCAACATATGATTGGCAGTTCTTGTTTGGGCAATAGAAATGTTTAACAATTTTTTGTGACTGAGTTTGGAAAAAGGAGAAAACTTCTTTGGAATCTTTTGGCATTCTGTTTTCTTTGGGGCAAATAAGGTGGATTAAAGCCAAAATGTCATCAAGGGCAACTCCAGAAAGTTGGTGCCTTGTGATAATCCCCAAAAGCAAAATGACAGTTTCCTTCACAGTAAGTTGTGAATTTGAAAATAATTGTTCATCTGACTCGTCTTGATCCCTAGCCATAGCAGACATAGCTTTTTGCATGTTACTTAACTCTTTTAATTCTTCAAGCAATTCAGATTGATCAAAGAAATCATTAATGTCATCTGAATCCAGAACTTTGACAGGCACATAATGACCGCCAGCCCCAACTTCATCATCAGCTTCATTGCCAGCATCATCAGCTTCACTTTCATGTGGGACAATGTTCCACCACTCCAAGTTGTCAGCTAACACTAATAAAGCAAAAGAAAGACAGTCAATCTCCACTAACGGACACTATCATACCACTCTACCTACAGACACTTCAATTCTCCATTTACCCCTAAGTCAAACTCTGCATAAATTACACTTTTCCGTAGGCGGACACTTTCCCATAAGCGGACACCTTGCTTTGTTCAAGGGAATATATTCACCGAATAATAGACCATTTTACGGTTGTCTGCTCGGCGACCTGGCCTTTGAATGGCAGCGAGGCTGGAGGTGACCTTGCTTTGATAAAGACCTGTCTACTATTGTCATGTAAATGCACCTAGTTAGCATTAGAACAACTTTATTTACACAACAAAAACAGTGAGGTCTGTATCAAAACAAGGTCACCTCCAGCCTTGCTG